GTAGATGTAAAATAACTGCCAGAACTACAAAAGCATTAAAGGAGAGAATGACAAATATTTAATGAAATCCTATTGTGAATGATGTGTTTTTAGATTCACAGCAGACAACTGTCTTGGGGGGGAAGGGAATTAGCTTGAGCACTTGTTTCTTTGTGGTTGGAATTGTTAGAATGAATGCATGTAACCCTACAAGTTAGCACAGAAAGTCTAAAAATGTATCCTTTTCTTTTTTTTTTTTATTCCCTTACTAGAAAATGCTTTAATTATGAAAAGAGCAGTGCTTTCTTCTTTGACCTTTCTTTTCCAAATAAAAATGTAGAGGTACCTAGATAAATTTACACTGTAGATTTGGACTTTTAAGAATGAAATCAGTGGGTTTTTTCATGAGGAAATGACATGTATTTGTAGGCTATTAATAGCTAAAGGCAAATAGTTCTGGTTGTGAAAGGGCGAGGTGTTCTGCCTTGCCTGGTAAGATAGCTTAATGTCTGGCTTACTATTAATTTCTGGTTAGCCTTGGCTAGAGGATGTGAAACCTTGTATTTTACCATACTGTAGTGTCTACATAAGTAATCCTTTTCCCTGTATCTACTCGTTATGTAAGTTGTCTGAGCTGCTGTGATTAGTTGAACTTGAAGCCTTTTTCTTTTTTTTTATATTACTAATAGGAACTATTTATCTATTGAGGGACTGTGCCCTTTAGGACCAGAGGGAAAAGTTTCTTCTCAAAATAAAAGTATTCATATTGAAATAGTATGCTCACCCATAATTGAAGCAGAGGCTGATTATTAACCTACCTTGTTTGGGTTACTGGAAATTATTTTTATGGAACACATTCACCTCGCATGTAACATTTACGTGTTTCTTTTCTTCTCAAAATGCCTATGCTCTTTGGCTGCTGCTTCTGTTAGGCCAGCCTTGCAGAACATTTCTAGTGGGTCAGAGTGCTCCAATTTTTTTACATAACTAGTTACAGACCACACCTTTAGGCCAAAAAAAAGTGAGACAGGTAATAAGTTTTTTTTTAACTGATTGATGGAGGGAGGTAAGATGTACTTGGTGCTGGTTAATAAAGCTTTGCCACCACTGTCATTTTAATCTGTTTGAAGTTGATAATGATATTTCCTACCCTCAGTAGAATTCACAGCTCTTCAGAAAAAAAAAAAAAGGTGATACGTTACTGGAACCAGTATCTTTATAGAAGAGATTGTTTCTATTGATAGTTCTAATGTTTTGTTTGCCATGTATGTAACTCTGAATGGCACACAATAATTGGTAACCTGTGGTGACAGGCAGACAGTCTTTAGAAATGGAAGAATATATTGCCATAGTTGCCATTGAAAAAAAAATTAAATAGAAGAAATACTTCTTACTTCAGGTGTAAATAACTCATGAAAGCCATGGTGGTAACTCAAAACCAGTTTAAGAAACATGCCTCCTGCAACTACCCCTTTTTATTATCTGCCATGTAAAGAACTGAACTTGAAAGGGAATCACAGGCTATTGCCTGACAGTGCCAAGTGTTGAAATGTGCTTTTTTGATTCAGTAGGGAATTACAGTATCACAGCTGAAAAAGAAAAGCAATCATGGGGGAACATAATAGGCAACTGTTCCTGCAATTCATCTTATCTTGTCATGTAAGGAAGAAAAAAAAAGAGGATGCTAAACATGTGCACTCCAATTGCTTGTAATATGCTACAGAAATCACTTTCTTAATACCTTGGAGTCTTTCAATTTCCTCCCTATTTAGTGTTTGAGCCCTGCGAGTCCCCCTGGTGGTAGCAGGGCTGGGGGGTTCTTCACTCCCCACTGAGACTTCGGGAGCAGTGCGTGGCCCCTGCGTTTTGCTTTGCTCTTTTTTTCAAGGCTTAAATTTCTTTCATCTAGCCATCGTCAAGTGAATTAATATACTAGGATTGTAGTAGGAAGGATAAAATGCAAATTTTATGGAAGTGGGGCTTACTGCAGATAGATTCTGACATGAGGTGAAGGGTATTACATAAGTACAGATCCAACTTGCAGTTTTTATGTCTTTCTGCTTACTAGCTCTGATTTGGTTTGTTTTTGGGTTTTTTTCAGTGTTTGGATAGGAATTGTTTTGTATAACTGGATAAATGTAATAGACAAAGAATGGGGTGGGGAGTTCTAAATGTTTCATACTATGCAGATGCAAAAAGCATAATGTCTTGTTTTTTAGTAGACTGAATCAAAAATTATGATAGGATTTTGTTCTGTGTTATCTTGAATATATTTATGACTTTAAGTACTTCAGAGGTTTGACTCAATCCTTAATGATGAGTAGTCCTAGTAATGTTAGAAAGCAGAGCAATTTTCATGTAAAACATTGAAACAGTTTATGTATTCTTTGAAGGCAAACAAACAAGAAGTGCCAAAACAAGCTTTCAGAAAGGAAGTTCATCAGAAAAGAAAAATAATCATTGAAATATTCCTTTGTGTAAAGCAGTATCGGCTACAAACAGCAGTTTGCACCTTTTATTTGAAATGGAGGCAATAAAGCTGTTATCATACGTAGAATAAACTTCTTATATATATTTGTCAGTCTCGGTGTAGCTGTACCTTACATGTAGACTGCTACATAAAATTCACTGGTTTTAAGGTTTGATTTTGGTTCTTTTGGTTTGGTTTTGGTCAATGTTTCTTGCAAAAGCATACTTTTTAGAAAAGAATCTGCAACAAATGGAGGTATAGGTATGTAGGTAACATGGTCAGTAGACAGGAACATAATTTTTGTTTCTTTTTTTCAAGTAACATTGGCTTGTTATCTTAAATAATAGTGAAATATTTTAAAACTGAGTGTTAAACTTTCATTCTCGATTTGTGTTCTGGATGTCTCTATTACTCTGGTTGAGTCCTTCATGCACCAAACAAACTAAAACTCTGTTTACTACTGGAGGACAAACAGTAGCCCAGCATTGGACAAGTAGTATGCAACTGCTTGAGGTTTTTTTAGTAAAACAACTTTATCCCTTCAGCAGCCTGAATCTTTGCTGGTTTCAGTCTCTGCTGAAAGAGCCACTGGAAAGAATCTCTTGCCCCTTCAAGATTGGCTGATGACAACTTTAGTTTTTAAGAGCCTGATAGTCCATGTCATATCTGTTGCTTCCAAAGCAATCATCGGCTGAATTTTCAGTAATCATAAATTCGGTGTGGGAAATAAGAGTAAATGCTTAGAAGTATTTTTCAATTGCTTAAGTAAATAGAGAATTTTTTAGGATTGTAATACTTGCTTAGTGATAACTGATGCATTTCATATACCTGAACTACACTGAATTAAATCATATGCGCATTTACTCTTAAATATGAGATGAAAAATATACATAGCTGAGAAGATTAAATCCATTAGCTAGGTGACTTGTATGTTCTTTCTTATGTCCTTTTTCCTCAGCAATAAAACTATTCTGATGAACTTCTAATTAGTTTTTTTTAGAAGAATTATGTTTCTTTTAAACGTGTCACTGTATCTTTAGTGCTCTTCTTGTACATTCTTTTATTCTCTTGAGTTCATTTCACAGTTCAGTCTTGTTAATAAGGTATCATGCTTTTCAGTGCTTAGTTGTTTGTTTTTTTCCTTTTTTTCCCAAAGTATATGTTGTCATATCATGAAGAAAATAAACTTGTGCTTTCTTTGCATTTTCTCAAAAACTACTTCAACTTCCCTTTAAAATGATAAAATTAGCATGTAAATATTGAAACTTAATTTGGCCTTTTGATAATGATTAAGACTTGGGTATTTGTGCACTTTATAATAATTTATTGCTGTTAATGTCTGGGAAGGCACACATGATAAGCATGATGATGAAAATTTCTGATTGAGTAGGCTGTAGAAGACCAGTGAAAACAGTAGTTAGCTAGTGCTGTGGTGGCAAATTCTTTAAAATTGTTAAATTAAAAATTAAGTGTGCTTGCTTGTCTTGCAGCTGTTGGATGATGAGGGTTGTAGCTCAGTTCAGAGGTTCTGAGTGTACATGGACCTCTGGCCTTTGATTAGGGAAATCAGAAGGTAAAAGATTAAGAACTGAAATATCAGCTTAAAATACATTACCTCCTTTAGTACTTTTTTGTTCTTTTAAATAAAACACATGCATGGATTTAATCTTGACATAGGACATAATTTGCCTTGGAGATAATTTTCTGCAGTGAAGCTAGGGCTGTCTTTAGCATCGAGGGTTTATATAAGTGGATGGAAAATGGTTTAGCTTGCTGCTTATGCCCCTGGCACTTCCGCCCTTATTCCCTTTGTCACTGAAGGATCCATTTTTATGTAATGGATTTTAGTTGGGTGACAAAGGGGAAAATTAGGGATAATCAGTGTTTGATTTGGAGGGAGAAAATATGGCAAGATTTATGCTGCAAATAGTAGTAACATAATATTCAAAAATGCTTTCAACTAGTTAAAAGTAAAAAAAGAGAAATCATTAGAAAATCAGTGTAAATTAGAAAAACAATCAACAACTGATAACCTGATGAGATGACTGCACACTTGCACATAATTTCAACTACTTTGTCAAATTGTGAGTTTAAAGTAAACCAGAGGGCAGTTGTTAAAATGGAACAGTCTGTTATTTAGTTTGAAAAGTTTATGTGTGTTGAATGGTTTCTATGGAGTCCTCCACTTTTCAGGAGCAGACCAGTTTGATTTGATATTAGTTAACCGTTCCCTGATTGTTATACAACTGATACCTGCTTAAAGTTTGGAATTTATTATTCAGACATTTAGGGCAGTCTAATATGTAAAAAAATATTAAGAAATAACTTATAATTTACTGCTAATGTTTGGTGATTTTGAACTTTATTTTGTTAGGGTTATATTTAAATTGTGTAATCCTATGGCTTGTACAAGTTAGTATTCTGCCAGCATAAGAGAATATGAAGAAAGCTTTGCTAAATTATTCGAAGTTTAATATTCACTTGGGAATATGGTGAACTGACAGTGTCAAACTCAGGACTTGTGACCAAAGCACACGCATCTAACCAAATAGCTTGTCATCCATGGCCATTGATGATAAAGCTATGGGTTTTTTGCAAAGAGAAAGAATTTTCATATTTCTTGATTAATTTCTTTTTCCCACTTTTCCAATATTTTTAGGATAAAGCTCTACTAAAACTGTGTCCTAGACAATATTTACCCTGCAGCAAGTTTAACTTTATCTGAGGAGTAAGTAATTGCTGCTGCTATGTTATATTTTTGTCTATTAACAACATTTTATATTATGGCACCTTCACGTTTCCAGGCCCTACATAAGGCATGTGCCTCCTTTAATGTGCAAAAGGACAGTCATAGTGCTGGGGAGCAGGCAGCCAGACTTAAATGCAAGTTTTTGACAAGTGACACTTGAATAAGTAATGGCTGTAAAAAGAAGGGCTTGAATTTAAACTAACAAGAAGTGTAATTGAAACATAAAGTAAAAATAAGCTAAAAATAAGAATGTCCATTCCAGCAGTACTTATTTGGCTGGAAACACAAGATGAAGTTATTTTACTGTATGGTTTACTTTAAGCAGTGGCAAAAATAACTATTGATGCTTTTGCATTTTCTCATTGATATAAGTATGACAGTTGGAAGCAGACTAAACAAAATACTGAAGAAATTAGCTGCTGAATGTCTTTATGCTCAGTATTTTTGAGTGATGAATATTGCAGAACAAACATTCCTGGAGAGGAGCACGAACTGATAACTGGTGCAGATCTCATGTAGAACCTCAATACTGGAAAAGTGAGAATGAATCACTCTTTAATTAGAAAACTGTTTAATAAAGATCATAAAATCTGCTATGGCTTGTGCAGATAAATTATTTTGTTTCAGTATTGGCTTGTAATGACTAGTTGTAATTCAAAAGAGTAGGGGCTTAAACTTGTTCCCAGACTTCTGTGTGCATGGGGAGGTGTGAGTATCCAAATAGCTGGAATTGAAGCTCAGGGTGGATATGAATGGAAAATAGCAAGTTTATAAAACTTCATTATGTAATTCATAACAAGAAAAGCTTTTGAAATGATTCTTTGTAAGGTACAAAGGCACCTCTTTGTCATGCTGTACTCAAATGAAATACCTTCAGCTGAGAGGTGACTTAAAGGATGAGCTCAGTAGTGTTTGCTACAAAGATTTTACATGCAGACTAACTTTATCTCATGGGGGTTTTTTGTGCAGTTTTGGATCCTTCATTATCTAGCACGTTACTCAAACTTTTGTTATATTCAACTGAAAATAACCTAATCCAAACACTGACAAAAATTAGGGACATCTATGAGAAATAATTATTGAAGCAAAAAAGTGTACCCTCAAATGTATTTGTACACAAATACCACTAAAAGTTACCAAATTATTTATTATAATAATTATTATTTATTATAATACAAACATTTGGAAGAATAAGTGACTGAAAATGTAGGAAGCTTTTTATAAAAAATGCTGAATCTCAAAAGATTTCAAATATTCATTGCATGTTCAAATAGACATTGTAGCTCAAACTGCTTCATTTAACAGTGTGTGTGTGTTGGAGGGGAGGTTAAGCCGCCTTAGGTTATTTCTTTTTTTTCTGATGGGAAACAAAATCACTTGGGAAAACATTTTGGTTGTTCAAGTTTGAGACAATTTGTAATCTTAGCCTTGGTGAATATTTGCCTTCATTTTGGAGAGGAGCTTACACTTACGCTATGTTTGTTTTATTGCCACAGAGTAAAGCCGTCCCCAGCTGAAGGAGTCAAGTCCAATCCATCCAAGAGACACAGGGACCGCTTGAACGCGGAGCTGGACCGCTTGGCTAGCCTCCTGCCTTTCCCTCAAGATGTTATCGCCAAATTGGATAAGCTGTCTGTGCTTAGGCTCAGTGTCAGTTACCTGAGAGCCAAAAGTTTTTTTGATGGTGAGTGTTGGAAATTTATTTGGTTTCGAACTGCTTGTAAAATTCAGTTTACACTGTATGTTGATTTCAGCGGTTCAAGTACTTAAAACTGTTACATTTATTTTAATGGAATAAAATTAAATGTATTTCAATGGAACCTCCAGTTTTGTGAATATATACAATGTAACTGTATAAAGTAAGCTTTCCAGTTTCATGAAACCAAATGTAACTACTTATATTTCACTTAGGTCACCAGGCTTTCAAAGCTTTGCGTTTGGAATTGATATTGCCTTTAATGAGTCCTCCAGTCCTTTTCATCAGACTATCAAAAATACCCAAGAGATTTCTCTTTTTCCCCTCTGAAAATTGCCTTCATAAAACTATTACTATTCAAAACATGTCATGTGAGTTCCCATCAGCTATATGTTTTGCTTAATGATACATCAAAAATAACTTTGCTTTGATATAAAGTAATTGCTACTGCCTCTTCCTATAGTTTATTGCAAAGGTGATTTGTAAAGAATAGAGACAAAGTCTTTCCTGGGTCCAAGCCCTGATTAATGCAGGACATGAGGCATTAAGACGACATCTAAGGTTCTCCAGTTGTGTGGGCAGGTTTTCACTGACCCCAGCCCTGACACGGGTAATACAGCAGCACTTGGAGTAGTCATCAGGCCAGAAGTGGGTGTTGGCCACCTCAGAGCTGGCCAAACAGTCCTACCCCACTCCATCACTACCTGAGCTGTTCTGTAGGGTGAGACAGGCTGGCTGGCTTCATGCCAGTTTTTACATAGGCAGAAATATTCTGATACTTTTCATTGCTGGAATAAAGCAATGAACTTGAATTGAATTAATTGTCCTTTCTTGAACCAATCAGTCAGATTTTACAATATTATATTAAAGATTAAATTCTGCTGAGAAGTGTAGCTAAGGAATCTTGATTACAATGGAGTTGATATTATAATTTTAAGCTGTTTTTAACTAAGTTTTTTGGACCTCTGTCCTCATTAGTTTAAGATTTAGTGTTTCAGCCTTCATAACATGGATGAAAGAACTCAAGAAACCTAACTAAGATAGTTTCACTTTTTCCTGCAGGAATACAGAATTATTTTCATTTATTGTGTCAACTGGCTTCAATTTATTAATGCTCATAAATTCACATTCTGTGTTTTATTGCTTGAAGAATATATGCAAGTGTCTTGATTTCTATACTTGTTCAGGACAATTCTTAATATGGAATCCAGTCTAAGGCTAGAGTTGGGCAAATATTTCTGGCAGTGTTTTTTTCACATGAAAAAGTTTTCTCCCATCAAATGAGAGAAATCTTTTAGAACGTCAGTTTAATAAAAATCTTTGCAAGATATCTCAGGTAGGTTGCTTTAAAAGAAATTATTTTGCTTGTCTGTGTTCTCTTGCTGAACTAAAGTGTAGTTCTAGTCTCAATGAAATGTGTTTTGTTGTGGCTTTTAAAATGATGTTTTCTGAAATAAGCCCAAGATTGCAAGGTTCTGTTTTGCTTGGGATGAAGTGATAATAACAAATCTCAATTTCTCATGCAATGGAAATGCTTTTTATTCTTCCTACCCCTTCCCTCCAATTTGCACTTGAAGGTCCTGTAATAAAGAGGTTTAAGACTATATGATTTCTGTATAGGAAAAAAAATTAAAAATCATGCCTTTAGCTGTAAAGAGACATTCAGAATTCCTTCACACCAAAATTTACATCAGTTGCTTGTTTTTAATTTGAACATATGGTAGCTTTCAGCCATTTAGAGTGGTGATGAATTAGATGTGCAGTAGTGGCAGAGAAGTTATATTTGCATTTCAAGTTGCAGTTTAACTACTGTGGATCTGGAATTAAAGCAAACAACCTGTGTTTTTAACTTAGTTGCATAGCACTAGGTTTGTATCCATTTCAGGCAAAGGTTTGTAGCTAATGCTACCATACTGGACAACAGCTGTAGAATATAGAACATTTAATTGCATTATAATGAATTAAGGAGCAGAATTTTGATTTGCCTTGTAGGAAAGCAACAAGTGCGTATACTAGGGTGAATTACAAGAGAATATTTTTCCTTTAGACTCCATAATATAAAAAAGCCTGGTAAATTTGAAAAGATAAAAGATCTGATGTTGCTTACCTTGTGCAAGACATTTTTAATAGTACAAAGTGAAGCGAATTTAATTTATACCTTCAGACAGAATAGCTCCAGTAGAAGTTGTCTTAACACTTTTTTAGCAGAAACCTTTTTACTACTTCTTTTCAGGCCTTTGAACTGTAGGACTACAAGTCAGGTTAGTCATTAGTTTCCATCTCAAGGTGTTTAAAGACTAACATCAATGACTTCAGTAAGAGTGACCAATTTATGACCATGACAGAGACAATAGTGAAAACTTGGTCTTTTATACTAATGTTCCTAAATAACATGGAAGCTATTTCAGTGAAATTCAGCTTCCAAAAGAAAAATTAGTGCTTTGAATGAACAAAAGATGAGAGAATGAACAAAAAAACCCTGAAAACCTCTAGTTTAGATTTGCACGATCAATCTATGCAGTACTTCTCAGGATGGCTTTTTTGAAGGCATATTTTGTGTAATTGAAGATATGCGGAAAACCCTGTAGAATAAATCTGACAAATGCAAGAGTGAGCACTGATTGTCACCTTGAGTGCCTAGACTGAGCCAACTGCTCCACTTTATTAACACAGCATGCTGAAGTAAAGGGAAACGCTAAATGAATAACAGGATGCAAATGGGGGGTGTGTAAATTCCTGCGGAAAGTAAAATATAAATGCGTAATCATATGATCTTGCTTGAAAGGAAACCCAAGTTTTTTCTGTAACAATAGATATTTTTTTCAAAGAAAACACTTGCATTTTTCCAAGTTTAAATAATCTAGAGTGAATGTCTGTTTACTGAAGGCGGAAGTCTGGGGTGAAAAAAAGAACCGTTTTGTGAAAGACATTTCTAAAAGTCTCATCAACTTGAATAAATGTGCCTCACTTAAGACACATTTTTTTTGTCATTACTTTAAAAGCTAAGGGGTCTGTGTGTGTGTATATGCACACATATATGTGTATATATACATATATATCCCCACCAGTAAAAAAAGCATATTTCCCTGACCCTACTAATTAAAATGGTACAGAATGTTCTCCAGAGCTAAAGACAGGTGAGTGTTTCTCTAGCGTCTACTGAAATGTGGTAGACTTCTGCATGCTTGACATATTTCAGGTTGTAGGAAGTAGGTGCACGTATTTTTTTCTTCCACAACTTCAAAACATCGTATTTTCTTGTGTTGGTGATTGTATTCTGTTAAGCAGTTGCTTTTGATTGTTGTCATTTGTTAGTAAAGTTATTGTGCTGTGAAGGGACCCTTTAGATACATTAGTTTTGTGTGGTCAGGTTATTCTCAAGTCCACATGGTGTCAGAAGCCTTTCTGTATCCCCTGTCAAGCATTCAGGCATGCTTTTATATGTATGAATTTGGCCTTGTACTCAAAAAGGAAGTTTCAGTAATGGCTTAAAATAATATGTCTCAAGTCTGTTTCTTTATAAAGTCTTATGTGGTGAGTCAAAGCTAAGAAGTGATTTAGAGTGGTGTCGCTTCTCAGCAGTGCAGTACTACCTGCCTGTACTCAAGTGGATTAACAGTCCTCAAAGTCAAGCAGGTTAGCTTAAATCACCGCTGGAGTGTTTATTTTGTGCATGTAAGATACTTTCTGAAAGTGGCTTAGGGGAAGCTTTTTATTTTTAAGAGACTAGGATAAATCAGTCAGGTGTCTGCTGACAATCAGTAAAGACTTTGTGTTGTCCTGGTATTATTTCAGTCCATTTTGATGCTAAGTGCCCATGCATGTGTGCATTCAGCAGTGAAAAACATAAAGTGGAATATGGGACAACAGCTCTTTGTGCAGATGCAGGTTAGTGTGAGCGCAGCATATGGAGCACAACTGGACAATCATTTAGGCTTAGCCTGTGTTCCCCATGCATATGAAGGGAAAAAGCCCTTTTGCTTCTAGCTTTGGTCCTTATATGAGAACTGATAATCACTTAAATACTTTACTGCAGTAAGGAAAAACATCTATAAAGATTTTTCTTGGGGTTTTGGCGAAACAGATTAAAGGGCTAAAAGTAGAGTTTGCACGACTAATCACTTTTTTAGTGTTAGGGGCATGATTTTTCTTTTTAAAGGTAAATTGAAAATAAAGGAGAGGCTTGCAGAATCAAAAATGATGCTGCTATGTGTGCATATCAATACATTAGAAACAAAATTCAACATGTTGCTTGTTAATTATCCTTTCATCCATTTCACTAAGAATTCCTGTGGTTTAAAGTATGGAGTTTTTTTCCATCTTGCTTATTGGGCAGTATTCTGCATTTATAGAAGAAAGTTTCTGTTCAAAATTAGTTTACAATTAGTTTCTCATGTTGTATGCAAGTGATTCTGGCAAGCACAACAATAACAAAATAATTTTTTTCCCCCAATAAGTTTGCATTGCCTTTTTTTACTCTGTAGTATAATCAACACACATTTTTTGGCATAGCATATCTCAAATTTGCAATGCAGCCATTGTCATCACATAAAATATATTCCTTGATAGTGTATTTTTCCTGTGCTATCACTGTGTACTGGAGAAAACAGACCGCATGTAGTTCCTGCTCTGCAAAGCATGGCTAAGGTGTACAAATGGGAAAGACAGGCAGAGTGGGAGACAATGTATTTATTCTGTCACGTTGAGAAGGCCAGCAACATATCTCCAAACTAGCAGATATAGATAGCCTTTTTGCCAAGTGTTAGGTGGACAATTGATTTGAATCTTATCTGAGAGCTGGAGGAAAAAAAAATGGGGGAAAAAAACCAAAACAACCCAAACAAATTAATGATGTTTCCTTCTGCACTGGCTTTGCCCCCTGTAATAACTCTGGCCCCAATCCAGAGTTATTACAAAATGTGAACCTTGGAATTGTATAGTTATTTCAGTATCAGACTATTGTATTATTCAAGTTATTTCCTAATCTA